TTTCCCACTTCCTTTTCCCGCTCCTGAACCCGCCACTGAGCCCTTCCCCTCCCGCCCCGCCATACGTCACATACGGCCATACATACGTACCTACAGCTACGTCGGTATTTATGCCAGCGGCACCACCAGCAACTCCCAGAAGATCATGAGCACCATCGGCTACACAGTCACCGGCATTGCCATGTTCAGCGATGCGGATGCTACCGGGTCTGACGCCTACGTCAACGTGGGTCGCGGGTTGGGGGGTCTGACGGCGGTTGGGGGGCCTTTGCAGCGGATAACCGGCGGAACACACCATCATGGCTGCAGTACTGCCGCCCCTGCCCCTTATGCAGCTGTGCTGCTAATCCCGCCACTGCCCCTGCTGCTACTGCCCATTACAGGAGGGCCACACTTTCGATGGATGCCGCGGTCACGCCGGTGAGTGAGGTTTCATGCGGTTCCTGCCTGTGTGTTACTGTTGCTGTGCGCGCATTGTGAGGTCCTCTGCTTGTTGCGGCCCTGCCCGGCATGGGGCAGAGGTGGACACGGGGGCGGAGGGGCATTGGCGGCGTCCGAGTAGTAGTGTGCAGCCTCTATGGCTTCGGACCCCTATCCATGCAAGGGATGTTGGTCCTTGCTCCATGATAAATGGAAGGTGCAGAGTACTGGACCTTGGAGCCTTTGTGTCCACAATCATTCCTTGTGCCCCGCCCCAAACCAAGTCGCCTGCCGCCGCTACCCCCCAGCTCCCCTAACCGTTCTGTCCTCATCTAAAGCCACCTCACGCCCTAATCCCGATCCCTGCCTACTTCGGCGTGCAGAAATGAACGGTCTCTACCACTATCACTCGGAGCCTGGCTCCGGCTGCGTGTACAACGAGACCGCGGGCACGCACTCCCCCCTGCTGGGTATCATGTACGACAGCATCCCGATTTACGGCGCCCTGGGCGACAACGGTGTGCCGCCGGCGGACCTAGACGAGTGCGGCGGCCACACAGACACCACCTACCCCTTCTACCACTACCACACCACATACAACTTGAAGTCCCCGTGAGTATAACCAAACGGTCTGTTAGGTCCAGATATGCCTAACGATATCCTGTAAATGCGGGAGCGTTGGATGGACTACTTGTGATTACATGCCAATCCGGAAGACGAGAAATATGCGAGTTTAGGGCTTAGCTTGGACTCGGATCCACATTTTAGTATATGAAGGATGACACCTGTCGTACTCCAACGGTAGCAAGACATGCATACATGCATGGCAGCACACCATAATATTACCTAGTTGAAGCCGTGGCGCGAAGGAGGGTTGTACCCGTTGTACCCGTTTTTCGGGCCCCGTTGGCTGGGATAGATACAGCTGCAGTGCAGGGCCCTCACGCATGCAAGGCCCTCCGCCCAGGCATATTGTCACTAGGGTTTTTCAGAGCTTGAGAAGGCCCCTCCGCTCCTCTGGGGCATCTGGCCCTGGGAGCATGTGCACGGAAGTGATCCGACCCCTCCGCGGTAACAGTTACTTTCCGTACATGTCGTACAGGTACCTCGTCAAGTGCTTCCGCGGCTGCATTTTCAACGCCAACGGCAACCCCTCGGTGAGCTGCCGCCTGGCCCAGACCTGTCGGTCTTACCACACATACAGCCCTCATCTGCCTTGTGTGCTTGCGTGGCTCTTTCAGACAGTTGCCATTGCCCGAGGACTTGCCCGTAGCCTGGGACCGGACCGTGCAACATATGCGCTTGGCTGTTGATGGTCATTTTCTTCATGCTGCGTGCACGACATGCGTTGCTTTGCTGTTCGCGCATGTCCCAGAGATGTTGAGGGTTTTCAGGGCGCTCAGGTCATCGGGTCATTATGGCACCCGCCATCACCACCGTGAGCTGATTGGACAAGAGCATCATCATCTAATGCTTTAGCAATGCCACCCGTTACGATGTGTCACTGTGACTAGACCTCCGAACTGTTGCCCTGTTCCTCCCTCCCGCAGATCCAGCAGTACAACCTGGTCAAGACCGACGCCACGTGCGTAAAGGCGGCGACGCAGTACGACTACAGCTCCTTCGTCAATCCCCTGCTGTCGTCAAGCCCTGTGACTACCAGCTCGCCGCCGCCGCCGCCACAAACCGGGTCAAGTAGCCCGCCGCCGCCGCCATCAGCGCTGCGCAGCCCGCCGCCGGTGCTTGGGAAGCCACCAAAGGCGCAGGCGGGTAGCCCGCCACCGCCTCCGCCACCAACATCGCGCAGCCCGCCGCCGGTGCTTGGGAAGCCACCAAAGGCGCAGGCGGGTAGCCCGCCGCCGCCGCCACCAACATCGCGCAGCCCGCCGCCGGCAATGACACGTAGCCCGCCGCCGTCGCTGCCATCCAAGTCGCCGCCGCCGCCACCGCCACCGGCAGTAGCGGGGTCGCCGCCACCAGCGGGGATGCGGCCCAAGCCGCCCAAGGCTGTGGTAGGCAGGCGCCTGTAAAGTATTGACGTGTTCTTTGCATTCATGAGGCGCCAGACATGCTTCTCACCATATCGTGGACATGTTAAGCCCACCCTTCCGGGCGTTTATGTACCATAGCCGTTGCTTCGGTTACATTCATTAGGATCCATTCCATAACCCGGATCCAAATGTTACATTGCTATGCCTGCTTATGCCTGAAGTACGCGTTCGAATTCATCAAGCGATGTGCACTGGGACCCATTTTGAGTTGGTTGCACGCTATAGTTGCTTTTGAGGTGATGGATATATCAAAGGTAATCTTGAGGGCGCGATGGCCAAACACAGCCGTACGTGTATGATTCTGAAGCTAATCTTGTGAGACATTAGATTCGCAAGCATCATATATAAGAAACACTGCTGCACAGGTTACCCCTTCATGCTAATAAACACGATGCATGGTACATTGTTGCGGCATCTGCTGGGAAGGGGATGTGGCGCCGTACGGGGAGGCCGGAGCGCTCCCAAGGCGCAGATCGCTTGCGTCCATGCATGGGCGTGCATGTAGTGGTCGTAGATTGCACGCATGTGGAAATATAACGACACCTGTCATCGCTCGTGGTCCATAATATCACGTATGTCCATCGCCATAATTTCGGCTTGGAGGAGGCCAATCAGCAGCCAATAAAACTCAGTTGTATCCGCTAGTTCGGGTTAGGTTGGGGTAGTTCGGGCTCAGGTAATTCGCGTACGTTTTCGAGGCATGGTGTTGTTGTATTGGTCAACAATTGTAGGTTACATACAGCTGCTCAACGAGCGCGCTCCTCGTGTGTCGAGCAATTTAGCTAGATTAATCCCGGACCCCAGGCGCATGGATGGCGGTATGGAGCTGTCCCGATACGGAGCATGGCCCGCCGTTATCGGAAAACCATGTGACATCCTTAGATGCTTGACTCTTGTAAAGTACTCTTCCCGGGCAGTGTACAATTCATGAAATGAGTGCAAAACATGTGGTCATGGCCTGCATTGGAATACCATGCGCAACATGACCTGGTCATGTTCCACATGTCATAGATATTTATGTGCAGGTATATGACCGACTTTATGACCCCCTGGGGTCATAAAGCGCAGCCATGACTGCCAGTGGCTGGGGTCATATTGGGATCCACTTTTTCATAAATTGACATCATGAATCGCAGACATTCTATGACCCCCACCAGTCATATCCTGCACTTGGCTTTTGCAAACTATGAACAGTTCCATGACCGGATCCATGAATAAGTGACAAATTATGACCGGATCTATAACAACATTCATGACCGGATCCATGACTGGAAAACCCGTCCATGACCAAGCCGTTCCCCGAGTGCCCTGTCCTCGCTCTGCCTGCGCGTCAGTAACACCACACACAGCAGCCGAACTCGCAAGCGTAGCAAATACCGAGGACAGGCTTGTAAAGACAGGGCATTTCTGGTGGCCCAGGTTCAAATATAAAAACAACAACAGGTTTTCGGGAGGTTTAGGGGTCTCACACTTTGCTTGAGATTGACTGGATCCACCCCAAAGCGCCCCAAGGCTTGCTACATGCGCGACCGTGCGCTTCCCGTGTTTTGACACACAAGGCGAGTTCGTTCCGATCCGAGCCAGCACGGTGACCGTGGGTTTCGTCAATGTAATCTGTAGCTGCCAATTGATCTTGACAGAGAGGTTACGTCCAATTACGAGGGGGTTGCAAAGCATGTAGCAATGTCCCAGTCACTAAAATAAGCAAAGCTCGGTATATACCATATATGGTAACCGCCGCATCGACCATCCCCAACCATTCTTGTATGCCAGGGGTGTATGTGAATACTTTTATGCACAACTGAAGTTTTTGCACGCATGTCGATAATTTCGTTGGTCCTGTGGACAAGGATGAGGACATCAAAATGGCGGTAGTCCACACACCCCGAGGAGGAGCTCAAGAGCTCATTTGTGCGCGTTCTGGAGGTGTGTACTGTCCAAACACGAATGACATGCGGGTGAACTCTGCACACGGTGTGCATGACTCATGCCATCTCGCAGATGGCTACCCGCATTGCTGGCATGGGAGCAGTGTTGTTCGTCAGTTACGAACTTCCCCCGCGAGCGTCCTCGAACTGCCTACGGACATGAAGCCGTTTCTCGTTGCTGCAATGGTCCAATACATATACCTCTCAAATACATTGACCACGCCTTGAGGTGGAGCTGTCGTTTGCGTTTTAAGGTGCTTGACCCCTGAAATCATGAATTGGTCCATGCTGAAAAAACAGTCATGTTTGATGTTATGATGGCACATAGTAGGAGTGAACTGGGTGCAATAGGTGTAACACAACAGTTGTGGTCAGGCAAACGATCAATGGAGGGATGGTGGCACGCAAAGCATGATCGATTGTTGAATAATTGGCACGCTATCATGCGTATTGTGTCCGCGCCGGCAGACGAAACGTTTTAGGGGACCACGTGATGATTGCGTTTTTGAGCTCGTCCGCTCGTCAAAACGGTCATTGTCTTTACCGTTGAGTTCTATTTAGGCCCTTCTTTTTTCAATTTACATGATAATAATTGTATTAGGGGTGATTTCAATATCCACCAGTGTGATAGGGGTGACTTTAACATCCTTCAATGAACTCGTTGGGCTTATTGGAGATGCTGGCTTTGGCATTTGTAATAGCTTTACCAGGCTTAAAGGCTTTAAGTTTGCAGCCTGGTGCCGGCGGTGGCAGCACGCTAAGTGCTTGCCCAAGTGGCAATGGCCAGGTAAATGCCGGCTGACAAGGTCTTAATCGGGTTTGATTGCCATTAAATTAAAAGGATTTCAATAATCGAGAAATTTCCTATTCTATCCTTACCAACACTAGAAGTCGAGGGCGCCTGGGCCGCGGCATGTCGCGACCGACGTTCGTCGCTAAAACTCCACACGCAGCCGCTAGTGAACGGATAACGTCCATATCTAAACCTTTAATCAGCGCTAACTGCATGTCCACTATGCTGGTCTGCTGCGTGCTGGCGGGGACGTATCATTTATACGGCTCATTTGACAGGTGGTGCGGCTGGTGAGCAAAACGAGCACCGAGTACACGGTCTTCTTCAGCGGCTGCCCGTTCTACAGCCCCTACAATCAGACCACACCTAACACACCAGCCTTCCAGAACAAGACGGTGAGAACTCAGTCAACGCTGCGAAAAGTCAACGCTGTGGTACCTGTGGGGGCACCAATTCACCGGCCTAACTAACTAACTACCGCGGACTCCCGCCAACCCACGGCGTGCAGGTTACGTTCCGCATCACCCCGGTGCTCTCGTCCACCGTCACGTGAGTGCGGCCCGGGGGCCCGTACATGGGCTTGGGAACTCGAGCTGTTTGTGGCCAGGGAACGAAGTGGTGCGAGTCCGGGCGGAAGGCCACAGGCGCTGTTCCTGCTGGGCTAGCCAACACTCGACTCAAGTCTTCTGCGCAGGTTCCTTGGTTCTTACACGGCAAGCTGCATAAATAAACCATCAGTAGACTCGGCGCAACGCACATATGAACGCTCGCTGTCGGTTTAGGCCGTACGTGTTGTGGTCCCACGCATTGTGCACCTATGTATCTATCACCGTGATGTTTCCAGCAACCGCAATCGATACGGCACCTGCCCGGCGTTTCGAGGCCGGAGTGGCACAATGATGCATCCTGCTGCCTACCCGCCTGTGTGGCTAGCTCTAGGCGCAGACGCTGCTTCGCTCCCTCCACCCCTGGCCGCCCACTGTCCGCTGCCTTGCTTCACGCGTGTTGTGTTTCGCATTGTTTTGTAGTGGGCTCCAGACTCGTGAAGAGTAGATCCGTCGGGCCAGCTGGCCGTGCACTGCACCTAAGGTGTTTTATTTGTTTCAGTAGCTCGGCCCTTGACTCACTTTCCCACTTCCTTTTCCCGCTCCTGAACCCGCCACTGAGCCCTTCCTCTCCCGCCCCGCCATACGTCACATACGGTCATACATACGTACCTACAGCTACGTCGGTATTTATGCCAGCGGCACCACCAGCAACTCCCAGAAGATCATGAGCACCATCGGCTACACAGTCACCGGCATTGCCATGTTCAGCGATGCGGATGCTACCGGGTCTGACGCCTACGTCAACGTGGGTCGCGGGTTGGGGGGTCTGACGGCGGTTGGGGGGCCTTTGCAGCGGATAGCCGGTGGAGCACACCATCATGGCTGCAGTACTGCCGCCCCTGCCCCTTATGCAGCTGTGCTGCTAATCCCGCCACTGCCCCTGCTGCTACTGCCCATTACAGGAGGGCCACACTTTCGATGGGTGCCGCGGTCACGCCGGTGAGTGAGGTTTCATGGGGTTCCTGCATGTGTGTTACTGTTGCTGTGCACGCATTGTGAGGTCCTCTGCTTGTTGCGGCCCTGCCCGGCATGGGGCAGAGGTGGACACGGGGGCGGAGGGGCATTGGCGGCGTCCGAGTAGTAGTGTGCAGCCTCTGTGGCTTCGGACCCCTATCCATGCAAGGGATGTTGGTCCTTGGTCCATGATAAATGGAAGGTGCAGAGTACTGGACCGTGGTCTTGTGCCCACAATCATTCCTTGTGCCCGCCCCAAACCAAATCGCCTGCCGCCGCTACCCCCCAGCTCCCCTAACCGTTCTGTCCTCATCTAAAGCCACCTCACGCCCTAATCCCGATCCCTGCCTACTTCGGCGTGCAGAAATGAACGGTCTCTACCACTTTCACACTGAGCCTGGCTCCGGCTGCGTGTACAACGAGACCGCGGGCACGCACTCCCCCCTGCTGGGTATCATGTACGACAGCATCCCGATTTACGGCGCCCTGGGCGACAACGGTGTGCCGCCGACTAACCTAGACGAGTGCGGCGGCCACACAGACACCACCTACCCCTTCTACCACTACCACACCACATACAACTTGAAGTCCCCGTGAGTGCAAGAAGGAAGCCATGGCTTGTTCTGGAGCTTGTCAGGAATGCTCCTTGCATCTCTCACGTAATACAAGGAAATATCACTTTAAGCTCTGTCAAGCGTACGCATCTCAGCCATCCCGTTTCTCCGTGTACCTTTGCCCCTCAAATCCTGGATAAAATCCTGGGAGCAAAGGTTAAATCTCGCACCTCTAATCCTGCATTTTTCCTTTGCGCCACGGCCGGTGGCACGCGGCCCCTCATGTGGTCTGGCGCGCGGACAGCCGGTGGCTTCAGGGCGGAACTGAGCTTGTGCGGGGTGCAGAGCTCTCCCATGTCACGCCTGTCTTTTGGATTCCGTCCAAAGAGGGGCCGCATTACCCTGCCGTGTAACCACCGGGTACCCACTTCTGCGCCCTGAATAACTGAATCCACCTTCCCTGTGCATGCCGTACTGCCGTACAGGTACCTGGTCAAATGCCTCCGCGGCTGCATCTTCAACGCGAATGGCAACCCCTCGGTGAGCCACTGAGCTAACTGACGCCCATGTCGCACCTAAGTTCTATCACACATACCTACCCTAGGGCAATGTGTCCACCTCCTTGCACAAAGCGCGAAGTACACCACACACGCCTTAACCTTGTGGGTTCAAACCTCCAAACTGTTGCCCTGTTCCTCCCTGCCTCAGATCCAGCAGTACAACCTGGTCAAGACCGACGCCACGTGCGTAAAGGCGGCGACGCAGTACGACTACAGCTCCTTCGTCAATCCCCTGCTGTCGTCAAGCCCTGTGACTACTAGCTCGCCGCCGCCGCCGCCCTCCAGCGCAGCCGCATGTCGCTGGCATGCCTGGCTAGCCGCTGTGCTGCTTGTCGTCTGCACATTAGCTACCCAGGGATTTCGCACCGCCTAAAACTCACTGGCCTTCCAAGCACCTGCTGCTGTGTCAGCACGCCGACAGCCGCTGGCTTCATGTCTTCCGTGCGTCCGCTTGTGAACGGTTGACACAGTTCTTAGGCTTCCATATTTACAGGTAAGTAAGATCACCGCACGCTTTCTGAAATGGTGTGATTTGGCTTGTTTCGAAAAAGAGAATTTCACAGGAGGGGTGACTGGGCATGGCTGGGATACTAAAGCAGCACGAGCGCACACGCTCACCAGGCTGCATGGGGGTCTCGGAGGTGCCTTGAGTCCGGCTTGTTTGCGTGGGTTACGGCCCTGTTCATCCATTATTTTTATCCATTTGTGACATGCTGGTTATTGCACTCCATGCGTTGCCGAGCGAACTCACTTTTAGTTTCGCTGAACTGATGGGATTTGCATTGGGGGGATGCATAGGGGTGCTACGTGGGTGTTTACTGCGTGGGTTGGAGACGCAAGCCCACGTTATCGGGTGCGGGAGAGGAGGCATTCCGCAGAGGCCTTGTTTCTTATTTGCTGCTCTGGCCCGCCTCCACGCATTGTGCAAGAGGGCTGAGAGTCAGCTAGTTCGGCTTTGGTGGGTGCGTTGAGAGAGTTGTTGAGTGGGATTGCTGAAATAGGCAGCAAGTGGGGATCTGTTTTGTCCCCCAGTCCATATGGACTATGAAAGGCGGTCGCAACTCTGTACTTTGAAAGGATAGGAACCATGCCACCGGCCAGGGCCGCCTTCTACGCCATGCACTCGCTAGGTTCGCGCTGAAAAGGTCGTGTGTTTTAAAGGAAGGCTGTGTGTTTTACGGCCCACGATGACTACACAGACAAGCCACGTCGTCGGAGTTTTTATGTGCTATTGATGGCCATAGCATCACTTCGCATGCATATTGATCGGCATTGTTTCAATGACAGCCGCTTCACCGCGCGAGTACTTTTTCAATGAACCAGAAATAAATCCGTTACGCGTGTCGGGGTTGCCCTTCACTGCGTGCCATGCATCCGCCCAGCCGAGCTGTCAAGATAATGCACCTTACATTCTTGTCTTGCATACGTTTAGGTGAAAGTTACAGCTGGGATACATAGTGAGGCACCACGCTCATTCGTGCAACGTACGCAAATCTGTTGATGGAATTTGTCACATGAACAGAAGCTGTCTTTTTGGTTTTTGGTCGCTTGTGGAGGATTACCCGCAGTCTGACTTCTGTGCGTGCCAGGGGCGCGGCACATGAAGGGGAACAGAGGAGCCGCAAATCCAGGCGGCTCCACTGATTTCCTCCTTTCGATTCCAAACGCCATAATAATTATGTGTTTTTGCTTATGTGTTTACAACTATTCATCCTTATGCCCGCTGGCCGCACTGCATCACCTCCATCCATCCCCATGCCACACACACTGCGAGCTTTGGAAATTATTTATTGAAGGGAGGCAGCGCTCAGATACCGGTGCAATGGTGTTTCTCGTCGGAAGGAGTTCCCGTGCGTGATAAGTATAGTGCGTGTGCAGGTTCACAGCCCCGCCCACGGCACGGTACGGCACTTGAGGCCGTTCAGCTGTGCAGGTCGCTCATTTGGTGCCTGCGAACATTTATTACACTTCCGTTCCGCCAAATGAATGAGGAATAACCGAATTTCTCAAGTATACGTTTGGACTTGTCGGGGGACGGACTACATGGTTGCCTGGGCAAATGCATGGGCAGTGCGTGGGGCCCTTCATAAAACGTTTTGGACGGGGGCATCCGTTTGGCTCCAGGATCTGCCATGAAGGATTCTGTCGTCCCCTGAGCCATGCACGTATGTCGGATTGTGATTTTTTGGCGATCTGGCAGCCCTTGAGCCCTCGGCTCGTACTGGGCGGTTTGCAGGTACGGGGAACACACCCCACGACCGTGTAACACATACACACACATACACACACATACACACACATACACACACATACGCACACATACACACACATACACACGTAGTCGCCAATGCCATCAGATCATCTATTGACGGTGTCGATCGGAACCTGCGTAACTTGGCGAGAATCGTTAACCTAGAATGGCCAGCTATATAGGTAATAGTTTTGGCCTTACCTGTAAGTTCAGCGGCCGTTTTCGAAGCAAGAATGTCGGAGAAGCCTGAACTCCGGATCCGATCAACCTTTTACCATAAGGTGAAGTTGCTTGACGCGCAGCGTATGGTCACGAGGCGCGGAAACGCTGATTGAAGGTGACGTTGATTGGGCGGAAACAACTGGCGGGTCATCGGGGTTATCAGCATCACAACCGATCAAAGTACACATCATAAGGCTTCGCAATGGAAGCCACCCGCAAGGATACACCAATTGCCCACAACGACTTACACTCCTGCAGCTTGCAGCTTTACTGCCAAGAGAATGAGTTGGACACATGATGAGGGCACGAGTGGGCACCGCATTGCTTCAGCGTGCAAGGTGTTGCGGTGGAAGTAAATATCTACATGGGGTGCTCTATACGCAGTTCAGCATCTACTACCTCACTGGTCATGTAATACCTCGAGGGCGTGCTTCCTCCCTTGGGACTTCAAGGGGCTGGGGGAGAGCGACAGTTGACTTGACCTTAACTGAGATAGTACTCACTATCCGACACGTTTGCTCAGCGTAAAACGCACAAGGCATTTTTGATCGTTGTTAAAGCACCTGATGTTCTGTTTGGGTTGAGAAGCAGGGGCGTTTTTTCAGTTTTTTCAGTTTGTTTGATTACAAGCTTCTTGAGCTTGTACGGCCCAGACGAGCCAAGAGGCTCATGAGCCGCCGAGCTGGAAACAATAATTGAAAAGAATAAAAAAGGCAACAAATCAAAACACTGTACTGTGATCCTCATTAGTCGTCTATGTACTGCAACCTACGTCTCCGTATGCAATCCAAGACATGTGCCAATCCGCGTTGATTCTCGACACCCATCACCGCATTCATAACATCTCCTGGAGCAATGCCTAGGGTCCAGAGCTTAGCACGGATATCCGCATATTCCGGACACTCTAGTAGCACGTGCCGTTCATCCTCCACTGCCTGACGATTATTGCAGACCCGACACCACCTTGCGGCCCGTTCCCTACCATGGGGTCGATTGACAGCCAAAGGCCAAACACACATCCTAAAACGCATCAGAGTGACGTGATGTTTCGGTAAGATGTAGCCTTTGCAGTGCTTAGGTTGCCCCATCCACTGCAAATAACGACACATCTTCACCCCTGGTTGCTTGTCGTCAGAGACAAACATATGTGGGTCAATCGCCAGCCTTTCACTACCCCAGTCGTCATCAAATCGATCTCGGAGTTCCTGCAACAGCTGGTCAATATCTAGGACATGTGACGCAGCAATATCTACCCTAGCCTCAATCCCTTCATCCGCACCACCCTCAAACCCCATGTCGTACCCTAAAATTTCTAGTATCCTGACAACCTTAGATCCCCAGCCATCGTGACATAAGGAGGAAGCAAAGGCCAAACGAAGCTCTTCCCGAAAACAATGATGATACACCGAGCCTTTAGCTTCTACCAGTCGGTTCCATAAACGGAAGATTAGGTTCGCCCAGTGTACTTGTAACGGGTACTGCCCCAGTTCCTTAAACAGTAGCCGATTGGGAGGCACCCCCGCCCCAGTCAACTGCTTCAGGAAGGATTTCTGCAGACCAACCATCTTATCCTCCAGCGCATAATCAAAATAACATGACCGGTGTTCTTGACCTCTAGGGAAGCCTCGTTCCAGGACCTGTAGGACACTCATCGGGCCCCAGACCTGTACCCCGTAAGACAGGATGGATCGTACTTGTGCGTCGAAGGCTTTGACAGCAACAGCTGGCACAAACAGGCCCTGTCGCCTAAGCTTGGTGACTAATGAGAAGAGCGCCCGTTGTCCAGAGGCATGAAGTTCATCACGACAGGACTCAAAAGGGGTGCCCGGGCCATAATGAAGGCCCAAGTACCGTGTACGACCCTTCCACGGTAAGCTTTTACTCACATGCGCACCTCCGTCCGTGACCGTCATGGGAACAAGCCCGTACTCGCCTAACTTGTACATCTCTTTGCAGGCATGCATGTCATGGTGAAAAAACAGGACCTCACATTTTCCTGTATTAACTTTCATACCAAACGCTTCACACCACTCCCTCAACGCACGCAGCAGTGCCATAAGCCGTCTGTGCGAGATAGCAAAAAGGTTTAGGTCATCAGCGTAGAACATAAGTGGGATTCGCATACCATCGCTTTCGGGACAATCATGCGCGGCCATAGCATCAGGTGCAAGACGGTCCTTGGCTTCCACGTAGTCTGCAAAACCCTCCCCGAAAATGCCGTACAATGTGGGGCTCAACGGACATCCCTGCTTGACCCCTTGAAACGAGAAAAAGGAGTCTCCCAGCACCCCGTTGACATTGACCTTGAGTTCTACCCTCCGGTAACAAGCCTTCAGAGCATCCAGCGTGGCACCCGTCACCCCTCTCTCTTCCAACCGCATCCATAGAAGATCCCTAGGGACCTTGTCAAAGGCTTTTTCAAAATCCACCTGACACACGAAAAGGGGTTTCCCAGTATTCCTCTTAGTGTTGTCAATTAAATGTCGGAGCACAAACAGGTTATGGCACGTGCCTCTCTTGCTACGAAACCCTCCTTGATAAGGGGAACGAGCTCCCGACGATTCACCCCATGCACTGAGTCGGCGCTCCAACAGAAACGCATACAGTTTTGAAAGCGCTCCGCCAACTGCCAGCCCTCTGTAGTTGCCCAGGTCATCCACGTCGCCCTTCTTGTGGATGGGTGTGAGTGATGATACCTCGAATTGCTTGGGATAATCACCCGTCGTGCGGATATGCTCCATGAGCTTCAGCAGGTACGGTGCAAGCACAAATTCCGTCTTGTTGCCAACCTCGCGTTGTGCGTATTTCAGAGCCTCAGCCGGCAGCCCATCCACACCTCCTGACTTGTTGTTGCGCAGTGCCTTCATGGCCACGATGACCTCGTCCAGGGTGAAGGGGTT